CTTCGTCACGTGCATCACGTCGATCAAAGAACGGACCTCTAGGTCTTTCCAGTAGGGTAGGTCCCAAAAAATATATTTCTTCTTCCACATGGGTGCGTGTCCCCCAGCGTCACCCGAAACAGCTAGTCCGCCGGGACCCTTTCCAAATATTACATGTAAATCATTGACCATAGGAAGTACGTGATCACCGATACGCATGGCGGGCTTCTTCCGGTGATCTGCCTCGCCTTTGAAATGCTTGCCTTTCTTTCGACATTGATGGTTGGTCGGAAGAAATCGACGATGGCCCATGTACACATTCTTCCTGCATTTTTCCAGGTATATACTTTGGGTGTCAGCTAAACAGTGCGTGCATGCGTGGTATCCCTTGTTTGTCTGTCCTGAAAGGTTACTGAGAGCGGGCCAATCGTTGATGGTTACAAACAGCAACGCTTGCAGGTTAAATTCCTCCTGTCTGTGCTCATCCCACGCACGTACACCGTTTCCATTCCACAGCTATAAAAGTTCTTCAACTAATGGCCTTAGGTACACATCAATGTCGTTGCCGGGTTGCTTAGGGCCTTGGATGAGAACTGGCATCACAATGAACTTCCGCTTCATGCACATCCAAGGAGGAAGGTTATACATGCATAGAATCATGGGCCAGGTGATGTGATTGCTGCTCTGCTCCCCGAAAGGATTAATGCCATCCGCGCTTATACCAAACCATACATTCCTTGGGTCACGTGCAAACTCAGCCCAGTACTCTCTCTCGATTTTTCTCCACTGCGACCCGTCAGCGGGTGCTCTCAACTTACAGTCTTTCTTACGGTCTTCACTGTGCCATCGCATCAACTTGGCATGCTCTTTGTTTCTGAACAGTCGTTTCAACCGTGGTATTATAGGAGCATACCACATCACCTTCGCAGGAACTCTCTTCCTGCGGGGCTCACCGTCAACATCACCAGGGTCATCTCGTCTGATCTTATACCGTAATGCACCGCATACCGGGAATTCGTTCAAATCCTTGTACGCACTACGGTAGAGGATGCAGTCATTAGGGCATGCATGTATCTTCTGCACCTCCAATCCTAGAGGGCATACGACCTTGTTTGCTGCGTACGTACTGTCGGGCAATTCGTTATCCTTTGGAAGCTTCTTCTTCAATATTTTCAGTAGCTTCTCAAATCGTTTGTCAGGCATAGCATTCTCTGCCTTCCACTGCAGTAATTCCAGTACGGTACCCAGCTTTGTGTTGCCATCTTCGCAATTGGGGTACAACCCTTTTTTGTGATCATCTAACATGCAATCGAACTTCAGCTTCTCCTTTTGACTTTGGCATTGCGTCTTTGCATCGACAATGACCCGGCGGAGATCATCATCATCGGGCACATCGTCTGGTTCCTTTTTCATCTTCAATAGCTTCCCCCGTTGCAGCTTCATCGGGCACATCATCTGGTTCCTCTTGATCTTCAGCAGCTCCCCCCGTTGCAGCATCACCGTATTCAGGGGGCACATAGTTCTCATCGTCCTCTTCTTCTTCGCCGTCTTCGATCATAACCCCTATTTCTCCGTGCCTCGTCCAAACATTATAGTGTGGCATGAAACCCTTGTAAAGCAGGTGGGTGTGAAGGATTTTTCGGTCAGAGTAAGACTTCGTATTCCCACATTTAGCGCATGGACAACACATAAAACCATTCTGCTTGTTTGTCTCAGCCACTTCGAGAAAGTTATGCACGCCCTTAATGTACTCGGAGGTGTGTCTGTCACCATACATCCATTGCCGGTTCATCTGCGTGCATTATATATAATTATGCGTGTCAAAAGTAAGAAAATCAGATAAATATCTATCTAAAGTAAGAAAATCAGACAAGTATCCATCTAAAGTAAGAAAATCAAAAAGAAGATAAGAACAAGAGGCTCACCATGGTGGTGCCGACGACGAAATCGGCGCGGGCGATCAACGGCGGTGAAAACGGGGACGGGGCGTGACGGACCGCTAAATCTAGACAAATCTCGGGAAAAATGGAGCTCCGAGGTCGAGCTTCGAGAGGAGAAAGCTTAACTAGTGTGGCTCGGGCACTTCATTGAACACCTCATGTGCATAGGAGGTGAGGTAGAGCACCCAAATGACCTCCCCTCGCCGGCCAGAAAAAACAGAGTTCTCTGCCGCGGCGATGCGTATATATAGGCACATTATCTGTCCCGGTTCGTGGCATAAACAGGGACTAAAGCCCCCCCCTTCTATACCGGTTTAAGGAACGAACCGGTACCAATGGATGTGGGCCAGGAGCTCGGCCCATTTGTCCCGGTTCGTGCCTAGAACCGGGACAAATGGGTCCAGACAAACCGGGACCAATGCCCACGAGGCCCCGGCCGGCCCCCTGGGCTCATGAACCGGGTCTAATGCCCCCCCCCATGGGTCCCGGGTCATGAAAAACCGGGACTAATGGGCTGGCCAGGCCTGAACCAAAGCCCTGTTTTCTACTAGTGCTGGCCCACCGAGCCAGACGAATATAGGTTGGCTTGCCAGCTTGCTCTCTGTAGGGCGGCGAGGCCGGTGAGACGACAGACCAGGAGGTCGATAACGAGCCGATGTCACAACCCTCAACGTTCCATGCTGACATCACCATGGAGAAGTCTTGGGATTACTTCACAGACATGATGGCGTAAGAGTAGGAGACGTTGTTCCAGCAAGCGCAGCACGACCAAACGCACAACCACCGACTCATCGACGAGTACCGCCACATGGAGGAACAAACTGCCGATGACCAGCCGAACGACAACCTATTACGACCATGGTGGACGCATGTCCGGGCTTCCTAGATGAGAAACGGATGATACTCCTGTCCTATCCCAGCGCACGCGAGATAAGCCGCAAGCGATGGTGGCAGCGATGATGGCGGAGGAAGAGGTGGTGCATGAGACATAGACGATGCTAGCTCCACATCGGCCGCGGCACCTTATCTGTTCGCTTCTGGCCGCCACGAGGACGAGGCCGACATGTCCACTTTCGCCACTGTCGATAGGAAAGAAGATTAGAACATTGTAGGCTGCCACCGATTGGGCCCTAGAAGGCTGCCGCCGATGTGTTGCTATGCTACAGTTGGTGAGCTTGCCAGGAACTTAGCCGAAGAAAACACTTCTCCCCTCCCGCTAATGCTTCACTTCTTGGGGCCCACAACGCGCGCCGGGTGAGGTTGCTGTCGGAGATGGGGGAAGACATGTCATGGCAAACGGGCGCTACCGTTGCCCGTGATCATTTAGACTAGTTCAAAATATCCTACTTTATAGTTTAGGTGAAAATTTCAAAAATATAAAGATTTTCGTCCGGTTTAGATGAAAATCATCCGGTTTGCATGAAAATCGCACGTTTTGTTCAAATCCGGTTTCAAATGTATGCATACATTGTTAGATGGCTGACTCTCATATCACTGTCCGTGGACGCGTCTGTACATGTCCGCCGACAAATACCATGTCTGTTTTAGGGGTCCGCATTGGGGAAGCCCTAACCACACTTTATTTCTGGGATTTTTGCGAAGTGGAAACAAAGTTTTGAGCCAAAAAATTAAATAAAGTGCTCCATAGAGCCCTGCCTCCAAAGCACATTACAAGAAAAAAAGTAAGGGACATTCATCAATTTTGTAGGCGGTGGTGAGCCTGGCGCCCAGGCCGAGCACAATGGATTCTACGATGGGAACGGTCATCGATGCTCTGCTGGCAGGACACCGGGGTGCTTTGCCTCACTATTATGCAGCAATGGATTCGACCATAGGATCGACTCACCAGTCTTCATCCATAGCTTGATCGACTCTTTCAAGCTATCAATATAGGAAAACACTTGGCATGTTTGTTTTGCTCCAACATCTCAGAGCAATATTTTGTATATACAAATAATCAAAATGTTGTGGAATAATAGCTTTGAGAAAAGGCCTACATGCTTCTATCTAAAGCATAGCTAACTGACTTAGTGCAATTTGTTACCAGAAGAAGGATGGAAGGCACTTAATTTACAACGGATTATAAATAGACCAGCCACATACATGACTCCATATCATCCAATAGACATGTATGTAGTCATGCGTATATTACCGCGCACATGCATGCAATTCTTTCGAGCTAGCTAGATATTGATTCTCTCATCCATCGGGCACCAGGGCATGCATTCGGTTCGCATAAAAAAATACATGTATGCACAACATCCCGCGCTTCGCAGGCAAAGGTTGCAGCACCCATCCGGCAACAAAGGCTGTCCACACATCTCACGCGGTTGCAGCTCTGCGGGCAGGGGTTACACAAACACAGTGGCGTCTATTGGAAGGAGGTGTTTCCGTCATTCGTGAAGACACGACGCAAGTATTTGAAGAGGTCTTACTTGATGAAGTGAATGACCTGGTCGTATATAATATTTTTCCATGTTGGAGCTAGACGATTGTAAAATTGGTATTTAATTTAGCACTAGTTGGTTTTGAAAATAATATTATGTAGAAAAGTCGTTAAGAGTGTAGTTCGCTCTAAGCATGTGAGCTGGGGACTCCTTGAATTCCACAATGAGACGGAACTCATGGGAGGAAGGGTGAAAGAAGACTGCGTTCTTGACATGTCCACTTCGTTCCTAGTCATGGATTGGCCATCACTAATTTCTCCCTCTAGAACCTGTTACATGCGGCGGTTGGTGGACAAAAAAGATTTTTGCCGGGAAAAGAATAATAAAGAAAGTTCAAACTCTATGTCTGCAGGCAGAGCTTTGCTACATCCACGGAGAGTTACGGTGGGTTTACAGGCCTGGGCACCCAGCCCACCAATTAAAATCAAGAGGGGCGCGATTAATTAGGAGAAGGAGATTAATTAGACGAATTAAAACAGGATAACTCAGCAAGTCTGTAAAGTCTGTTAGGTGGGAGTCTGTGTGTGTAGCATTTTTGCTGCAGTATTTATGGGAGTCTGTGTGGACGCCGATGGAATGCTCAGGGTCCTCAAACTCCAAACTTGAAAATAGAACCGCTTCCCTCCTGCTCCAAATGGTGAGGGAAGAGATCTCTAGGGTCCTCCAACTCCAAATGGCAGAGATGGTGTGTTCCGTGGTCATCGGAGAGGCTGTAAATAGAACCACTTCCCTCCTGCTCGGCAAGGAGGAGAGAGAGGCCACACCCATCAGCGAAGGAGTGGAGCGGTAGGAGCTGGCGCACATCGAAATAGAGGCCGCACTCGAGGCATCTTGCAAGTGGTCAATCGTAGACACATCCTTGGTGCGTTGGCGCAAGATGCTGAAGCGGGCTGCGGGCGAGTGTGACGAGGCACGGCAAAGATGTCGCCGACGCCACATGGACATGCAGGAAACAGACTAGGAGATAATCAAATCATCCTCCCCTAGGCGGATCACTCATGCTACCATGTCATACATATCCTCTCTTGCAAACTACTGCATTGGAAAGGTTTGTGAGCCCGGTAGCACCAACACCGTCTCCCCCGTCAGGAGGTTCGAAAGGTTCGCGGACAGTGCTGTCGAGTTCATACGCTTCATGGAGCTGTGTGGAGCTTAATTAAGTTCAACGATCCTCTCATTAGACATCTTCCCGCAGGCAACAAGCTTAATTACGAGGTGTGCCGAGGTTCTGGACGCCACTTTTTTGGGGTACGTCCCATATGCTTCGATGAGCGTGGGGTTGAAGCGAAGCTATGCTATGATTACGAGGACCAGAAGGCCCCGGTGAACAACTCTTCACACCTCATGCCTCTCCACAAGATCTAAATCTCATTAAGGGCTCTACTTCAACTACTAGAGTGGTCAAGGTGATCAATGGGCAGGCCGCACAACATAGCGACGAGCACACATGCATCAGTTGGCAAAAGATGGACCAAATGCTGCTGCCGAAGGCAATAGAGTACCTATGCGGCAACGATCAGGCGACGACCTACCAGCTGTTTTGGGAGTCTAATCACGGAACGCTGCAACTCTCCATCGAGAAGATCGGCACACAGGTGCCAAGCAAGGCACACGGCAGAACGGTGAACCAGGCAGGGGCTCCGCGGCTAGTAGGGCGATGGAAGGAGAGGAAGCATATCGCCGTGGACCTCCTCAAATCATGAGCTGCTTTTGCACCTGATAAGATGCAGGGATCAATCACAGCACGGATAGAGAGAGTGGATAATACACAGTATATTTAATTCAGGGGGGATGTGATGGGATGAGCTGCTGATTATCTTTATTTAGTCTTTGCATATATATCTGGATTTCTGTTCGTCACCTCTCACTTGTAAGGTTTTGAATTTCGCCCAGTAAAGAAAAGTTAAGTAGTAGATTATTAGTACTGTTCTTGTCAAATAAATTATGTTTAGCTTTCTATGAAGCTTGGCTTCACGGGATATTTGAATCATGTAACATTACCTTGATGTACTACCATGTCAGATTATTTGGATCAACACCTTTATAACACCAAAAAAAAAATTCAAATGGTATCTCATGCCAAGTATGTTTATTGAAGTGACCAATAAGTAGGACATGAGCAATGTGGATGTTGCATGTTTCTCATGCCCATGAGTAGTAAACACCGAATGTGGATGTTACTCTGTAGTCATAGCCAGTGTCGTGCGTGTTGAGATCGTTCAGTTGTGAGAGTAATTTTTAGTGTGTTTCTAGATCGCAACAAATCTTTACTCTGTCTCATACCTACTCTTATTGCTATCAACGTAGGGACTCCCACTTCGAATAAAAGCATGGAGTGTATGTTTGTGGACAGACCAGATAGACGAGTGAGAAGGCATCCCCTGGCAAGTTAACCAAGTTTGATCATTATCCACGGCAAACTCATTAACTCCTGCTACGCTAGCAAATTTAAAAGAGAGGGAGTAGTAACAACTCACTTGACTTGAGCGGTCCATTTTGAATTCTGACCTTGAACTATTTTCTTTCTCTGTCTTTTTTTTTGGAAAAGGAGGTTAAAATCCTCAGCCTCTACATCAATCAACGCACACATCCATATTTATTAATTATTCAATGCAAGAACATACATCAAGCCACCCAAAGCCACCACTCACACATACAAACTCAATGTGGAGTGCTCTCACTCCTCATATCTACAACCGGTGTCGTCGCCGATACATCCACAGAACATATCGGAACCAAGAGCGGACGCAGCAGACCTAAAGCGTACACCACATGTACTCGTTTTAGAAGCGGTCATCATCATCAAACAGCTCACCCATCTTCAAGAGAGAGTTCCGCATCATCTTTGCCAGTACCGCCATCCGTCGACGCCAACACAGCTCCCAACAGTCCCTGCGCTTGTCCATCCCAACGCGAAGACTCCAAAAGATCTGTCGTGTGTAACACCTGCTGATCAGGCATGACACAAGGTAGCACCTGTCTGCCAGGCATGATTTGACTTGTCCACCGAAGCTAGGTCTCTCTTCCAGGACTGCTCCATAAATTATGCTCCCAAGAGACAAATGACATCGCAGTGCAGCCATCGTCTGATTTGCCAAAACTAGATACTGGGGTTTTCCCCGTAGCATTATGAGTGGGTCCACAGTAGTTACACCACGATGCCTTCATCAAGGTTATGGCCCAAAATGCCGCCATCGCCCGCCGTCGGCTCGATTTTCACCAACAACTATGTCTCCCCGACTCGCAGCTGGGAATAGATGACGGATATCGAGATCCGACCACTCAGCCGCAGGCCTCCGACCTCCGACGGAGGAGATGGCCACTACTGCCAATCCCAGCGTTGTTGCCTCGCCGCTCGGCCTCCGCGAGGACGCGGTCGCCACTGTGCCGCTGAGCCCTGCGCCCGCCCACTACCACCTGGATAGGCCACCCCGCATCGGCCATCCTCGAGCAGTGCTGTCAGGAAAATGAGCTGCAATCCAGGAGGCGATCGACTGCTTTCCTTTAATGATTGCAGCCATAGCCTGATTGCCGCAGAGGTCCGAGGAATTCAGTATAGCTGCCTCAGGATCTTTGTTGCTCATGCCCGCCACACCGAGATCGTCATAGTATTTAATTAAAAACTGAACCGATGCCCCAATCGTTGCTCTTCCTTTTGAATGCACACAATCCTCACGGAGCCACCATGCTCGCCACAACAGGAGCAAAATTTTCTGCCACACATCCACAGTACATATGTCCAGGAGGAGCTGCAACCAATCCTTACCTGTATATTTGAACTTTTCTTTAGCCGGCAGGTTCCATCCCTTTCTCATTTCCATGCGGAGGGCTCTAGCATTAGTACATGATACTGTAGCAGGGTACTCATCCTCCGTCTCCTTACCACACATATTACAGATACTATCAAGTTCCAACGTTCTTTTCCATTTATTTTTCTTGGTGACCAAAGTCTCAGTAGCAACTCGCCACCCGAAGTTGCGAATTTTCTCAGGGCATTTGGATTTCCAGATTAGATCCCAAATACCTCTATTATCCGCGTCGCGCACAGAACTTAATGCAGCTGCTCCCATTTGCTGTTTGAGTTGGGACCCCAGTTTGTATGCGCTACGGACAGTGAACATGCCATTTTTCTCGCTATGCCAGGCCACGCGGTCCTCAACCTCCGTATTGGGTAGTTTGATCTTACATATTTCTTCCGCATCAAACTCATGAAATAATTCTTTCACAAGGTCACCATTCCACTAATGGCCTTCAGGTGTTAGCAGCTGGTTAACCCATCTCAAGTGTGACCGTCTATTGAAAGTGGCCACTTTCAATCCATTCTTTCTGGGGATCCATTGATCCCCCTGAATTTGAATCCTCCTTCCATTCCCTACTCTCCACATTAGTCCTTTCTTTAGGAGCTCAAGACCATGTTCAATCCCTTTCCATGCTTGAGTGACATCGGAGGCAAATGATGTATTAAGGAGCTCCCCATTTGCGTAGTATTTTGACTTTAGTACTCTTGCACACAGGCTATCAGGGTGTTGTAATAACCTCCATCCCTGTCTTGCTATGAGGGCTTGATTAAAAATCTGCATATCACGAAATCCGATCCCTCGTGCTCTTTTTGGTATCATCAGTTGGTCCCAAGCCGTCCAATGGACTTTCCTACGGCATTTCTCTTCACCCCACCAAAATTCTCTGGTCAAGCGCTCGTATTTCTCACAGAAGCCGGCTAAAGTTTAAACACACCCATTGTGAAACTGGGAGGGCCTATACAATGGCCTTAACATGAACTTCTTTTGCTGCAAAGGACATGAACCTTCCCGTCGAGTCATTACATCTCTTCATGAACCTATCCATGAAAGGTTGGAAGTTGGAGTCTATCATTCTGCCTTCTGGAGTTGGGAGGCCAAGATATTTACTCTCAAAGGTGGATGCTTGCCAAGATACTCTTAATTTCCTCTTGAACTTCTGTTGGGCAATGCTCACTGAACAAATTTGAACATTTGTTGTTGCTTAGGAGTTGTCCAGTGCATCTCTGGAACATGGATAGCGCTTTCTTAACTGACAAAGCTTGTTCCCTTGAGGCCTTAAAGAAAACGAGACTATCATCCGTGAACAACAGATTTGAAATCCCAGGGCTGTTACGAGCTACCTTGACCTAAGTGATACTGCCTCCCAATACCTCTTTCTTGAAAACATTTGTCAGCCCGTCCGCCACAAAGAGGAATAAGTAAGGGCTCAAGGGATCGCCTTGCCGAAGTCCACTCGAAGGGATGAATGGTTCAAGTACCTCTCCATTCATCTTCACTGAAAACTGCACCGATGTTACACATTTCATGACCCAATGATCCAGATCGAGTTGAATCCAATCTTTTCCAGCGCGCCCCGTAGATAGTTCCGATCCACTCTATCATAGGCCTTCGCTAGGTCCAACTTGTATGCACAATGGGTGTTATATGAGTTTTTACTATGCTGAATCTTGTGAAAGCATTCGAAAGCAATAATGGCATTATCAGTTATCAGCCTGCCTGGGATGAAAGCACTTTGCGTCTCTGAGATCAACTCGTTAAGGTAGGGGCGCAGCCGGTTGACCAAACACTTGGAGATGACCTTATAAATTGCGTTACATAGATTGATTGGCTTGAAGTCTTTAAGACTTTGGGGATTCCTTCCCTTTGGAATGAGCACAATGACCGTGTCATTGATCCCTTCGAGCACGATGCCATCCTCAAAAAAATTCAAAATCACTTTTATGACATCCCTTTTGATCGTACTCCAATTACACTGGAAAAACCTGGCCGGGAAACCTTCTATACGTGGGGCTTTTAGTGGTCCTATCTGAAACAGGGCGTCACTTACTTATTTCTAAGTAAAGTCTTCTTTAAGTTTTGCGTTCATATCATCCTGGACCGTTTGGGAGATCAACTCGATCAGTTCAAAGGGGACAACCTCGTCGTCCTTCTTGTACAGATTTTTAAAAAACGCAGATGTCGTTGCATTCAGCTAGTCCTTCTTCTCAAATCAGATCCCCTCCTCATTCTTCAATTTCCTAATTTGGTTCTTCTTTTGCCGCCATGTAGCCTTTCTGTGGAAGTACCTTGTGTTTTGATCACCTTCTTTTATCCAAGTCGCCCTAGACCGCTGTTTCCACATAATTTCCTCTCGTATGAGCAGCTCATCCAGTTCGCTGGATACCTTTTTATGCGATTTTCATTTTCATCAGTTCTCGGTCTCTCATGGAGGTTATTTAGCTCCTTCTCTTTCTTCTTGATGCAACTGGAAACTGAACCAAAATCTTTCTTAGACCATTTCAGAAGTGAAACTTGGACCCCTTTGAGTTTCTTTGCTACTGCAGCTAGTGAGGAGCCCAAGCTGTCTCCCTCCCAAGCATCTTTAACTGTGCTATCCAATGAAGGGGCACGTTCCCACATCATTTCATATCGGAATGGAGCAGACCTTCTGGCAGTGTCTGCAGTTCCCAAGGACAGCAACAGGGGAAAATGGTCAGATCGGGAGGTAATTATATGCTGGACATTTGCATTGCGAAACAACTCTGACCACTCAGGCAAGGCAACTCCCCTATCCAGCCTAGCTCCGACATTATTCCTTCCTTTTTGCTTATTATTATATGTCCACTCGGGGCCATGATAACCAAGATCATGCAGATTACACCATGATGATACTTCTCTGAAGTTGCTCATATTCCTTTCAGATC